ACTTTTATATAGGTACTTGTCATCAAGTTCCTATATGTTAAAGCTTCCAGGATATCAATTGTGAGAAACAGAGACTCAGGCAAGTGGTATATTTCTGGTGGTGTAACTGATAACTTTATTAAGTCAATATTTGTGGTTATATGAGGTTTTATATATTTGCTAAATATTTTTTAAGAATAACTTCAGGGCTGGGCTTGTGGCTCAGCTGCAGAGCGCTTGCCTAGCATGTGTGAGGCACTGGGTTTGGTTCTCAGTACCACATATCAATAAATAAAATAAATGTCCATTGACAACTAAAAAAAATTAAAAAGAATAACCTCACATGAAAAAAAATATAAAGATGCTATGTTAGTTTTTCATGGCTGTGATCAAAATACCTGAACAAATTTGAGAAAGAGAGTTTATTTTGGTTCCTTGTTTCAGTGGACTCATTCTGTGGTCAGTTAGCACCATTGATCTGGCACCCAAACGAGGCAGAATATCATGGCAGAAGGGTATGGTAGAGAAAACTGCTCAGCCTTTGGCATTGGGGAAGCAGGGTTGAAGAGGAAGGAACCAAGGACCAATACTGTCCTCAAGGGCAAACCCATAATGACCTACTTCCTCCATTGGTGCCCCATATGCCTATACTTTTCACCACCTCCCTGTGTTCCATTCAAATTATTAAGCCATCTAATAGATTAACCCACTGGTAAAGTCAGAACCCTCATAAACATTCACCTGTGGAACATGTTGGCATTCCCTTAACCATGGGCTTTCCAGATTAAAAAAAAAAAAACAGATTCTATTTTTGGTTCTATTTTAGCAAATTTAGTTGTTATAACTGAGTTTCATGATGTAATTTGTTGCATGACTTTGTATTGTCCGTCCAAGTGTCTATAGTATCAGAAGAGACCCAGACTCATAAAGGGCAGGACATGAGGGAGGTTATTATAGCAGGGGCATTGATCCTATGATGTTAACCACAGGATTGACATGTTCACCATAGAGCAATATATATATATCTGAGATGAGAAAGAGCAAGTTCACTTGAATTTGTTCTGATTTGGTGGCCCCATATTGTTGGTAGACTTAGCAGTCTAAGGCTCTAAGTCTTGTTTTGTTCTTGCCATTCTGGTGATTAAAACCAGGGACCTGATATAAGCTAGGCAAGAAATCAGGGATTGACATTCCTAGCTTTAGGCAGCAGGCTGTATAATTTTAGGTAGCTTTTCTACCTTAGCCTCTTTTTGGAGCACAATAGACAATTTTAATTTTAAGGCATCTAAGTACGAATAATTTATAAAAAGGATTTTCCTGGAACAGAATAGTGCTTGTTCACAGGCATACACTTATGGTATTACTCTATGGTGGAATGTTTTATGATAAATGCATCCTGAGGTGATTTTGTCCATACGTAAACATCAGAGTATGTACCCACATAAAGTAAGTCATCACTAGGTGATCTAGTCTAATGGGACCAACTTATAAACTGATCTTCATTGAAATGTTATGTCATATATGACTGTAACTGGGACCACAGAGGTTACGCTTTTGTCAACAGTTCAGCATTTTTTATGGGTTTGCATCATTCTCACACGAACAAACTGAGGTTTGAGGAGAAGCCTCACTCCTGGAAGTCTCGTATGTCAGACTTCCAGGAAGGGCCAGTTTGACTCATTCCTAACCAGTACCTGATGTGTGAGAATCATGTGACTGAAATGAAGAGGAAGAAGCCCTTTCCAGACTGAGAGGCTATACTGGTGGCCAAGCCGGATGTCCCTGCTTCAGATGGTAAGTCTCCTTCCCTCATACAAGTAGTGGGGAGGGGTGGGAGTAAGGGGTTGACAAGGACTTTGGGTTTCCTGGGATTGGATTGTCATGGGACTGCAGGGTTCCTGTCACACCTGGGGCTGAACTCTGGGACACAGCAGCAGAGCTGGAAATATTACAGGCAATCAGGCCTCTCGGCTCTACCATGCAAGTGTGAGAAATAGGGTTATGAGGAAAGGCCACAGGTGCAAAGTAGGAATGAGTGCAGGAAATAAGATCCAGTTGGACAGTGCAAGTGTGGGCATTGGAAATGGGGATGTGGCTTGGAAGTACAAGCGTTGTGCCCTTTTTCGGGGGAAGCTGCAGATAGATACTCCATAAGCCACCCCCCCTCTGTGCCCCAACTTCTCTTCCTTTTGTATGTTACTGGCTCCTTACACTTGTTGCCTAGATTTCTTGCTTTGGACCCTTGCTACATTTCTTTGCCATTCCCTGCACCAGTCCCGTGCCATTATCCCATTCCCATGTGTACTTCCTGGTCTGAACAAATTGGCCTCACAAGATTACCATGTCAATGTGTACAACTTCCATGGCCATAGATTCCCATCCTTGCTCTAGGTGACCAGATTCTTTCCTTAGGCCCATTGCCCCAACTCTTACATGGGCCACTTATTCTATATACTTGTCCAAGGTACAGTCCTGACCCTTGTAAGGGACTCTTATCTCTGTTGCCCAGTCAAGTGAATGTGACTGACAAAACAAAATACATTGTCCTAGGCCCCTTACTTGGGACCATTACCACATCCTCTTTCCCAGACTTGTGAACAGACCAGTCCCTACCTTTACCTTCATGTTCTTAACAAATCATTGTTTTTGAAAAGGATTTCCCTGTGTTTCCAGAATTCTATGACCATGTGTCCATATCACTTCCATTCTACCTTAGCTCTCCAAGACCCACATCCATGAACCTTGCACTGGAACTTTATCTGGGACAACCAAACTCCCAATCTCTGCTCATGTTTCTTGCCTCATTCATTTTCCCAGGGTCACATCCTTAACCCTTTCTACCAGGATATAGCAATGCTTCTAGACAGGCTCCTGATTGAGTCCCATGACAAGAGGACAAACTGGCATCTTC